CAGGGACACCCCACCCCCGCTCTGTCTCGGGCAGGGACACCCCACGCCCGCTCTGTCTCGGGCAGGGACACCTCATGTTCGCTGTGTCTCTCAGAGGCAGATGTGTCCACCCCAGCCATACAGCCTAGGACTCAGCCTGCCACCTCCTCGGGTTTTCTTTCTGGCCCAAGACCTTGATTGGAGCAGATCAAAAACTTAAGTGTGGGATTAGAACAACACAATTGTGCTGTTGATTCATCTTGAGGCAGAATTTCATTGACCTTTTAGTAAAGTCAAGCACCATATCGTCCCCCTGAAAAGTGAGCAGAGGGTGGTTTCAAGACGTAGGGCCCTCCGTTTCCTCCAAAGCCAGCCCTGACCATTGTCTCCTCAGCCAGCTGCTTCCGCCAGGGCCTCTCACGGCCCAGCCCCACCAGCCAAGCCCAGCCAAGGCCCTGCCCTCCCCTATCCCTGGGAACTGGCAGCTCCTGCGAGGGGGCCTCCCGAAGCCTCGGCCTCAAGCCTCTCAGAGGAATGGTGCTTCTGAGCCTGAACCTGTAGCACACTCCTCACAGATCTCTGCATCTTCCTGACTTTTGTTTTACACAGTTGAATATCCATGTGGAAAAATACCTATTCTAGAAAAAAGAAATGCCAGCATCCCCCAAGGCCGAATTGTGGGGGGCAGGGTGTGCCCCAAAGGAGAGTGTCCGTGGCAGGTAAGACTTCCCTGGCCTCAGGATTCTGAGCCCTGAGGGGCTTGGAGACTTTTGAATGTGAGCTGGACAACAGCTCCGGAAGGGAAACGGGCAGGTCAGTCCCAGGCCCACCAGGCTCCACGTCAGCCCGCGCAGCACCTCCAGCTCGCTGCACTCCATGAAGGACAAAAGAAAATGACACTCACTGAGGGTCTACCCTGTGCAAAGAGCCCAGCGAGGCTCCCCACCCGAGCTGTCATGTCATCCTCACGGTTACTCTTTAGGGTAGAATCCTTGCCTGATCTTTGCAAAATCGGGAGCATTGGATCAAAGCTATGTGAAGACCCTGTGAGGTGAACAGTGAAATCCCACAGCAACATCTGTGGTGTTAGGCTGTACCCAAGAGCATGCCTCAGCCAGAGAGGGGCTCAGCCCCCCAGAGCCGGGTCTGAGCAGCTCTGCCCAGGAGGGATCTGCAAGGACCTGAGGATTTCAGAAATCAATTGTGCGATGCCAGAGGTCCCTTGGGGTGCCCGGGAGGGCGAGTCATCCAGGAAACAGTGACAGCAATGTGACTTCCATGCCTGCTGTGCCCTGTGCAGGTACTGCTGGTGCAGAATGGAGCTATGTTTTGTGGGGGGACCCTGATCGACACCAGCTGGGTGGTCTCCGCGGCTCACTGTTTTGACAAAATCAAGAACTGGAGGAACATAAGCGCAGTGCTGGGTAGGTGCTACCCTCCCTACCTGACGGCAGCTCTCAAGTCCCAGGGGCCGAGGCTCTGGGCTTCGTTCTTTCGTGCTGTCACTGCCACAGACAGAAGTCTCCAAAAGGAGAGCAACTGTGCTGGGCATGCCTAGTCTGGCCACCATCCCCTCAGCCACTTTCCCATGCCCAAATAAAATGGTAAAAGACTAGGGGCTCTGCCCATCCTGCCTCGCTTGGCCAAGAGCCCAGAGGAGGGTGCAGCACCCAGAGCCTCATGGGCCCACCAAGTGGCTGGGTTTATGGGCAAGATAAGCACTCCCAGGAGGGCCACCAGGCCAAGAAGAACTGTGAAGAATCGGGGCATACCCTGTCCCCCTAGCTGCCAGGTCCCAGCACCCCTTCCCCACCCCAACACTCAGGCCCCAGATTCACCCCAGTTCACATGTCCCGCCCTCCACCCCGAGCCACAGGCTGCCACTGGGGCAGGTCTGCCGGGTCACCTTGGGGTGGAATGCAGGCCCCCTGGCCCCAAAAGGAGATTGCAGCCCCTGCAGACCTGAAAATGGCCACAGCCTGTCTCCATGCACCAGGGTGAGGCTGCAGGCGGTGGCATAGGCCTGAGTGGGGCCCCTTCCTTCCAGGTGAGCACGACCTCAGTGAGCACGATGGTGATGAGCAGAGCCAGCGGGTGGCACAGGTCGTCATCCCCAGCACGTATGTCCGGGGCACCACCAATCATGACATTGCGCTGCTCCGCCTGCACCAGCCTGTGGTCCTCACTGACCATGTGGTGCCCCTCTGCCTGCCTGAGCGGACATTCTCTGAGATGACGCTGGCCTACGTGCGCTTCTCGTTGGTCAGCGGCTGGGGTCAGCTGCTGGACCGTGGCGCCAAGGCCCTGGAGCTTATGGCCATCAGCGTGCCTCGGCTGATGACCCAGGACTGCCTGGAGCAGTCGGAGAAGACGAGAGGCTCCCCGAATGTCACGGAGTACATGTTCTGCGCCGGCTACCGGGATGGCAGCAAGGACTCCTGTAAGGGGGACAGTGGAGGTCCACACGCAACCCGCTACCGGGGCACGTGGTACCTGACAGGCGTTGTCAGCTGGGGCCAGGGCTGCGCAGCTGTAGGCCATTTTGGAGTGTACACCAGGGTCTCCCAGTACACCGAGTGGCTGCACAACCTCATGCACTCAGAACCACACCCAGGCATCCTCCGGCGAGCCCCATTTCCCTAACCCAGCAGCCCTGCCCCACGGAGAGAAAGCTGGGGCTGTGTAGAGCTGTCCTGGCACCAAACCCCATTGATTCTTCGGCAGTTCATGGGGTAGAGGAGGGCATGGGAGGGAGGGAGGGGTGGGGAGACAGAGACAGAGACTGAGGGAGACATTCTGAGGACATGGAGAGACTCAAAGAGACTACTAAAGACACAGACGGGGCATAGAAAGATGAGAGGCAGAGGCAGACAGGCGCTAGTTGGAGAACGGGAGTGCTACGGCTGTCCTGGAGGCAGGCAGCCCAGCTAAACCTTGTCTCCCTTCAGCCAAGCCCACCTGCACGTGATCTGCTGGCCTCAGGCTGCTGCTGTGCCTTCACTGCTGGAGACAGTAGAGGTGTGTACACACACATACACACACCAGTGCACACACAGAGAAATGTGCACACAGATACATGTGCACACGGATGCATGCATAGATATACACACGATGTGCACAGATATGCACACGCAGGTACACAGATGCACGCACACAGATCTACATATGCACACGCGCACACACCAATGTGCACACAAATGTACACATGTGGATGCACACACATGCACACAGGTACACCGATGCACACACATACCGATGCTGACTCCATGTGTGCTGTCCCCTCTCTCACTTTTCTCGTTGTTATGCAAACATTTCATCTTCATTTCAGACAATTCAGAAGCATCACCATGCATGTTGTAAAAGCCCCAAACTCTTCCCCCAAATGTATTTCACCCTAAGCTGGGTGCCGCACTGCACAGGCTGTTCCCCACCTGTTTCCCACTTCACAATAAACAGCTGCATCTCCTCTGTTCGCCTGTGGGGCCTCCCACCCTCTGGGTTGTCCATGATTCATTTTTGGGGCCCTGGTGCTCATCCTCTTAGCCACTCTTTTCTTCAGAGTTTTCAGCATCACTGAAATGACTCTTCACACAGAAGCTGTTTTTTAATTACATTTTTTTTTAAAGATGGGGTTTCACCATGATGGCCAGACTGGTCTTGAACTCCTGACCTCAGGTGGCCCACCCACCTCAGCCTCCCAAAGTGCTAGGATTACAGGCGTGAGCCACTGCGCCCGACTGGAAGCTGTTTTTTCAAAACAAAGCTCTTGGATAGATGTTTGAGGCTGTAGCTTGCAGGCCCCCGTGCAACTGGATGTTCTGTTCCAGCAGCCCTTGTCAATGACATTTCTCAGTGGGCCCGGGAGCACCTGCTCGAAAATCAGGAACACTTCACTAAATGCAGGCTCCCAGGCCCTGGCTGCAGTGGGAGGACCTGGCAAGCTGCAGTCTTGCCAAGTCCCCAGGGTTGGTGGGGGAAGAATGAGAAACACGTGAACAGAGACATTGGGAGGCGATAGACACTGCCTCCACTCCAACTCCAACAAGCATGGCTTGTAAAACGGACTCGACGTCGCCCTGCAGGGCCATCCTGGACACCAGCGGGGCTCACAGCAGCAAAGCAGGTGCCAACCCACCTCAGGGGCACTCAGGGAACATCTGCTTTGGAGCAGACAGGGCCTGTGAACTATGGCCAAGGACTGCTTCCAAGCCACCCTGCTCTCGTAAATAAAGTTTTCTGGAAACACACCCATATTAGCGTTGATCGAGTACGTGACAGAGGCCGTCCAGCCAGACAGACCCACTGACCTGCAAAGCCCAGCGTGGTTCACGTCAGGACCACTGCCACAGATGCTTGCTGATGCTGGCCAGACCCCAGTTACTAATGCCCCACACATGGAGCTCAGACTTTACAGGAGCCAACAGCAGGGCCTAACCCAGGTCAGAGCTGGCTCTGCTTTCTCTTTTGTCCGAGTGACTATGCCTCAGTTTCCTCATCTGTAAAACAGGAGCCCGCCGTGATGCTTGTGGTGGGATGAGATCAGTGCAGGTAGAACGAGGTCCTGGAAAAGCCCATACCATCATCATCGACAGCAAAGCCACTTTGCAAATAGACAGATGCTTCAGTGAATTGGTAGAAAATTCTGCAACCAGAATGCTCTGGGCTCCTGAGGCCCTAAGCCCAGCCCAAGGCTCTGGAAGCTGCTCTGGCTTCTTGGGAGAGGAAGTTGGCAGGACTCCTCTTCCTGGGAAGAAGTGGAGGGTGGAGATGAGAGCACAGGCCAGGAGCCCACCCAGACCCACAGGAGTCAGCAGGGCAGTCACGCAGGGTCCCGGTGGAGCACCGGCCTCCCTTCCTGCCAATGGGAAATGCAGGCACTCACCCTACGATGCTGTCAGAGGAGGAGGGCCGGGGCTCCCCAGAGGCCTTGCTGAGGGCCTGGACACCCCCAAAGGCTACATGTTTCATATGGGACGTGTCCCCTGCCATGGCTGGGCTCCAGCTTTCTGTGAGCAGTGAGACAGAAAACAGGGAGGCCACTGGGACAGGACAGAGGAGGCGGCAGGCTCACGCCCCCAAAGCCAGCATTGCCACCAGCATTGACCGCGAAGACTGCGTGTCTGCATGGGCACCCTGCTGGTGGTGCACATACTGCATCGGTCTCTCACACGCATGCCTAGAGGTGATGCCAGAGCATGGACACTAGGAGAGGCAGGAGCCAGGCACCTGACACCACCAGGAAGGCCCCTCTCAGAGGACTGGTGCCCCCCCATGGGAGGCCAGCCTGGCGTTGGCATCCACCATCATCAGTTTGTGCAGTCGGGTGGGGCTCAGTGAGCGGCTCCTGTGTGCCGGGCACAGATGCACAAGGTGTGCACACCAGGCTCATGTGCAGGTGGCCACGAGACAGGGCGACTCGTCAAGGCAGATGAAGCGCGAGGCCAGCGCTGTAGGTCTTAGGGACCTTGTTCCCCGTCCACTACCGCGTAGCAGGGAGTGGTCGCCACACTGGCCAAGTTTTAGACCATTTATTCCAGAGACCCCAGAGGCAAAAATCCTGGTTGCACCTCCCAGTGACTCCCGCAGCCACTGAGCAGAGGAGAGTTTCTGGAAAACGCAGTGTTGTGATGCAAGAGCGATTCTGTGGACGAGCTGGAGCTGGAGCAGCCAGCCCGCTGGCCTGCTGGCCGAGGTTCTGCGCTGGAGAACAGGCCCAGGGGCCCTCTCAGTCTCGGAACAGTGTGGCCAGTGGTGGGGAGGCCAGGAGGGGTTTCAGGCAGAGCCTGTCCCCCCAGATGGCGAGGGGAGGCCCACTCCCCACGGCAGTACATGCTGGGGCCACGTGGGCACAGGTTTGAGGGTGGGTGGGACAGGTACCAGCCTGGCCTGTGTGAGACCGTGGTGCTGATGCCAAGCTCCTGCCGTGACATGAGACCACCAGACACCACCTAGAGAGTGGCCGTGAGCAGAAGGACCCTCTCAGAAACAAGCAGGGCCTTGGAGCAGCCATCCTGGGCTCCAATCCCACATTCGCCACCCACGGCCTCGGCCCAGGCTTCCTGCGCTCTAACCTCAGTTTTCTGTGCTAGGAAACTATGGGAAAAGTGACACTTTTATGTGATCGTGAGGACGGAGGGTCAAATGTAAACATCTGGAAACTACAAAACAAGCATGAAATGATGCTTTTATTTGCTCTTGGAACAGAACGTCCCCATGCCCACGGCAGGCCCTGGTTACTGATGAAGATGGGGCTCCACTGGGCCCCTCTGGCCGCCCAGCTCTGTCTGGGGAAGGTGGGGCCGGGCCGGCTGTGTTCCCAGCGTGGTCACTCCCCTGCCTCGCCAGCAGGCCCCGGCTCCAATCAGGAGGCCTAAGCCAAGTGACAAGCAGCGGGACAGCAGCCTCCCGGCCGGGGCGTGCACTTTGCTCCGGCAGCCTGTCCCGCTGAGGACAGGGACACGCTACTCGGCCACACCATGGGACGCCCACTGCACCTCGTCCTGCTCAGCGCCTCCCTGGCTGGCCTCCTGCTGCCCGGGGGAAGCCGTAAGTGCCCCTCGCCCTTCAGACTCAAAGGCGGCACCGGGGAGCAGGGAGGGGCAGCAGCTGGGGAAACCCTCTCATCTCCGCAGCTGGGACGGTGGGTGCCTTGGCCGCTGCCAGGGGCTGGCCTCGGATGGCTGGGCTTGGCCTTTCTAGCCAAGGACGTCCCTGTGGCTACGGGCAGATCAGAGGTCACAGAGGCAAAAACACAAGGACAAAGTCAGAGAATAAGAAGGGAGGAAGGGAGAAACAGAGTGAAATGGGAGACCTGGAGGCAGAGACAGAGATGGAGAGACAGAGACGGGGAAGGACACAGAGGGAGGGGTGGAGGCAGGCAGAGACAGGACAGTTGACTGTCCGTCACCACAGGGAGGACAGGAAGGGGACACCACAGAGGAGCTCCCAGGGAGAAGGAGCTGAGCTGAGCCAGTGCCACCACCCTCGGACTGGCTCCGCACAGCTGGACTGGGGGGGCCACTAGGGATGTCCAGGACCCCTAGGCCTGTCCAAAAGCAGAGGTCCAGAAAGGGCAGAAGCCAGGCAAGGCTGGGGGCAGCAGAGGAAGGGAAGGCCCCTCTGGTGGGGATGTGGGAGACAGGGACCCTAAGCTTGTGTGCGTCCTGGATAAAGTGGACAGGCAGGGGCACCTAGAGGACACAGGTGTGGGGAAGGAGGGTGTGAGGAGAGATGCAGCAGGGGAAGACCCTCGTGAGGAGGAAAGGGGAGGCCCCTGGGAAGGCTGAGTGGACCCTCAGGGTTGGATAGCTTATCTGAGGCTGAGGCCTTGCTGACCTGAGCGGCCCCCTGCCCGGTGACACTGGAGCTGCAGCCACATCGCATGGGGGTCCTCTCCATCCCACCCTCAGCCCACTGCTCTCCCCAGCCTCTGTCCCCTTAGCCCACCTCTCCCTGTCTTCCACATGGAACCGGACTCCCCTCCATGGGGTAATGTGTGGTTCCATCTCCCCCAGCTTCTCCCCACCCCTCAGGCCACACTGCTCTGTGCAGGAGCCCTGAGACCTCTGGACCCAGAAGCATGACACCCTTAGCCGTGTGGAGCCGGCCTGGCCCATGACCACGCCTGTGGTGTCCCGGGGCCAGCCTGCATCCTGGGAGGACATGGTCAGCACCAGAGAAGGCACTAGGCTGTCTCCCTCCCCGACGCCACCTCAGAGGCCTCAACAGCTGCGCTCTGGGGTGGGTGGGACTGAACGCAGGTCCCAGAATGTCCCACTCAGGACCTTGCTGTGCACACTTTTTATTTTACTAAAATCAAATACGCACAGCACCTGCAGTCTAGCCTTGAAACGAACATGGCTGTCGGGGCAGTCACGAAGCTCTCCTGGGGTGGTGGGGCTTCAGCACTGCTTGGCTGGGGCTGCTATGAGAAAGGAACCATGGACCAAGTAGCTTAAAGCCACAGAAACATTTTCCCACAGCTCTGCAGGCTGGAAGTTCAAAATCAAGGTGTCAGTGGTGCTGGTTCATCCACAGCCTGGGGGAGAATCTGCTGTGGGCCTGTCTTCTGGCGTCCGGGGGCAGCGGCTTCGGAGCTGTGGCTTGTGGGTGCATCACTGTCACCACTGCCTCCATCACCGCGTGGCATTCTCATCACGGCTGTTTTTCTGTGGGTCTTCTTTCCTCTCGGAAGGACACCAGTCATTGGATTTAGGGCTCACCCTACTCCTGTAAAATGTCTTCCTAACCAAATACATCGAAAACTTCTATTTCCAATTAAGGTCACGTTCTGAGTTTTTGAGAAAGACATGAATTTGGAGGGACATTATTCAGCCCTGTCCTGACACCAGTGAGTGTTTTTGCAATCCAACTTTTTATTTTAATAAAATCACAATATGCACAGCACCGGCAGCACCAGCCTCTAAATGGCCACTGTTGGCCTGGCAATTACTAACGCTACGTGACTTCAGGTTCCGTCTTTACATTCAGCAAGTTTAAATCCATTCTTCATGAGTTTTGACCTTACTGGCTGAAACTTCTACTTGCTGATAAAACCTGTTTGAATGCAGTTGCTGACTGTGGAAGTCGCAGATGTTGCCACA